TTTATAACAATCACGACATTCTCAATAGAATGTTGTATATTTTCGTTGTTTATTGAGATTAATATCATGTAAAAGCCGGATAACACATATAAAATGAAATGAAATGAAATGGGGCTTAACTTCCTACTTCGACTATGCTAATGAAAACGGACGTTGGCCATACAGTGTGGTATAACGGAAATATTGCCCTATTGCACTATGGCCCACTCTTATATCGTATTCCAATTGCTAATGTTTTTTTTATGTGCACGCCAACGTGTACACAGAACATCTGTCCTTGCCAGGTGCTCCGTCCTGCACGACAAGAGGAAACAGCGCTGGAAAATCCCGAGGTACTTTTCGGTCATAACCGGGAGCGGATACGAGACCAACGTCTTACTCTCTCTCGAGAGTTTAAAGTCCACTCGACACGAACTAGATCATTTCGGGACTAACATATTGTTCACTTTTATTTCACTAATTCACTTGTGGGTAGGGGTCTTTAGCAGAGTGAGGTAATCGGAACAGCCGGTGAAAACCCACGAGATTAGACAGGCGACCCTACTCATTGTCACGTACAACCGGGGATTTGAAACCACGCCTGCTGACTCAATGACAGACCTTATTATGCGTCAATTATTCGGCCGACCCCCCGTAGATAAACAGACGACCTTTATGATAACTTACAAAAATAGATAATAAAAAATGAATATTATTGGGAATTTAAAACAAATTACTTTATTCTGAGTGAAGTTAATTAAGATTGTCTATTATCTTAGCAACAAGAAGTCTCGATTATCTATGTTATCGTTAAGCATTTTAATGACCGTGGTGTTCTAATCTACTGAGAATCAGAGCAATCCAATGGCCAAGAGAGTTGCCATGTTAATAAACGTTTAATGGGTGCACATAGCAGGTATCATGGGCTCCATATGTGTACTATGTGATAAAGCGGTTCAATGACCATTCACGTTTGATACAAGAAACATTGAATATTTGGAATTCATCATTTAATGTTTGGTATTTGTAACATGCAGATGCGAAAAGAGAGAATACTCTGGCATACGCAATATGGTATCAGGCAGCAAACACATTAGTAAAATCACTACTGTGAGTTATCAGTTAGGGGTCCGATCGGTTCCTGTCAAGCGTTGGGTCTGATTTGCATGCAATGTTTCCCTGCATGTGGGAAGCAGATGAATACCCATCTCTTCACTACGTGTAAAAATGTATAGGAGACAAAGTCACTAAATTGCAGAAAGCAGTGCCCAGTAGTTATTACCAAACACTATAAAACATGTGCATGGGCTCCATGGAGACCCCACGTGCACCGACAAAGGTTAAAGGACGCATTATTGGAGATTAGATAAAGAGCCGAGAGTTCTCGCTATAATAGTTAAATAATAGATAACGTAGATAAAATATGCTGAAAATTTCTGAACCGAGATATTAACTTGAATGTTAGGCTAGCCTGAAACCCTCGATCATCCATTTTTACGTTTAATTATCGTACACAAAATGCATTCCAATCCGCTAAATATCTTAGACGAGCGATGGCATCGATAGTTGATTATGTTCTGGATAAGTTAATAAATATCTAATTAATAATTTAGATGACATTTCAGGTCTACAGAAAGCCGTGCAATAGACAAATTTAGCTCTTGTATAATGTATGTTTAATATGATTATTACAATGACGTCATTATTAATGTGACGTCATAAAGTATGTTTAATCATTTGAAGACTGAAGAAAGACCAGCAAAATACATAGTTAGCTCTTACATATTGCATCTTTAAAGCTTGTGTCAACCAAACCAGTTGATGTATATTTTAATTTATATATTACTGCCATAATTTGTTGTCTCCCCTATTCTTAATTTGTTTGGGGGGGGGGGGGGTCACCTCTAGCTTGCGATTGTGGTTTCGATCCATACGTGTGAGCGTATGTGACTTAGAGATGGGGCGCTTTCTCATCCTCGTGGGTTTCCTCCCACAGGAAAAACACCTACGCGTGCGCTAAGATAATACAAATGAAAATAAGACAACTTGTCTGCGATATTACCTTCGATGGAAGCAGACGTTAAACACTAAGAACAACTTACTTAGTTTGTTCCGCATCACTGACAAGGTGGGAAACACGCCGAAAAATCTGGATGTACTTTCCCGACCATTGCAGGGATCGAACACGCGACCTCCAGGCTACCGAGCCAGCTTCTTACCCACTTCGCCAGACGCGTTTTCCCCGTGCTATATCATATATGCCAAATCTTGGCAGCTACGATCAATCAGTCAGAAAATAAAACATGCAGAAGACGTCATTCGGGGAATTGTTCATCGAGGTTTTCCTGCGTGGTTTCCTCTTGCCAGTGTTGTAGGGACGAAAATCCGAGGTCACGTGTACACATTGGCGTGTACGTAAAAGTTCGCTTGGCAGTTGGAATTCGATATAAGAGTAGGCCGTAGCGCCGCTATCCAGACAAAATTTCCCTCATAGCACACTGTATGGCGTATGCTTATCTTGATTAGCCCAGTGGGAGCAGAACAGTAGGACTTTAAACCCCCATTTCATTTCATTTCAAAGTGGAAGTGGCGCTTTCGAGTTTATGTATTTACAAAATACCTTCAAATCTCAACGACTGGTGTGGTTTCGAATCCCCGGTTGTACGTGACAAGGAGTAGGGTCGCCTGTCCAACCTCGTGGGTTTCCTCCGGGTACTCCGGTTTCCTCCCACTGCTAAAGACCCCTACGCGCAAACGCATTATTGAAATAAAATTGAACCATGTGTTAGTCCCGAAATGACCTAGTTTGTGTCGAGTGGACGTTAAACCCCATCTCTCTCTCTCTCTCTATCTCTCTCTCTCTCAACACTGTTTGGATTATATTATAAGACATGACTGGGGTGGGTGGGTACGCTTTAGACCGCAAGGTCTGTTATTGAGTCAAATGGCGCGGTTTCCATTCGCTTCTTGTATGTGACAAAGATTAGGATCGTCTGTCAAACCCCATGGGTTTCCCCCACTGCTAAAGACCCCCAAGCGCAAGTGAATTATTGAAATAAAATTGGACGTTAAAACCCACCTCTCTCTTTCTTATGGTATAAAAACACTAATCATAGTGTCAGAGGCAAAATACTTAATGACGTCACATTAATAATGATGTCACATTAATAATGACGTCATTGTAATAATCATAATATTAAACATACATTATGCAAGAGCTAAATCTGCCTATTGCAGGTCTTTCTTTAGGCCTGAAATGTTTTCTAAATTATTAATTAGACATTAATTAACATGAAAAGACCTTAATAAACTCTCCGTGCCATCTTATGTGTCGGATTTTCACTGGATTTAAATCCGATCTGCTGCTCGAGGCTAAAGTACCCACTTTAGTAATGATGATCGAGACTAGCCCTAAAATTCAACGTCTACTATCTATGTTCAGAGTGGAGCAATGAAATTTTCAACACATTCCCTTTATATTATCTAATTTTTTTTAACTAATAGAGCATTTAGGTTTAGACTACTTTTTTTTTTATACATTTCACCGATATGGTTACTTGTATAGTTGAATTTTACTACATATGCTTACATTCGTATTTCGTATAGCATATAGCAGATCATGACTCATGCTGGCATTGCACAATGGTTTCTTTGGGTTGTATTCCTGATTGTTTTCAAATTTGAGTGAAGTCTGTGTCACTACAGACCCGGGACTGTACAGCGCAGTGGACGCTTACGGCTAGCCCCCGGATCCATTCAATTTTTTTGAATTGTCTGTCTGTCTGTCTGTCTGTCTGTGTTTTCCTGAGTTTGATGTCTTGTCCGTGTATTTGTTATTGTGTAAATTTTGTGTGGTACAGTCCCCCTGCACTTAAGACATATAGAAATATATTTCACTAAAATTAACACACTTATATGGATATAGTACTTCTGAATTTTATTAACATGCTACGTTACAATACATACACAGGTGCTTAATAACGATACCTGTATAAACAAATACAAATATCATATTTATACAGGTATGGTTTTGCTTGAGAACGATACCTGTATGTGTATTGAAACGTAGCATGTTAATAAAACAGGTATCGTTATAAGGCATATAAGTTTTTAACTATTATAGTGAGATCTTCCAGCTCTTTATCTAATCTCCTATAATTCCCCTTTATGGTAGTTTAAGCTTCTTACAAATGTATTATTTATGGAAATATTCCCTTTGTTCTACAAACATGTGTAACGTAATTGTTACAATATGTTTTCCTCCACAAGAAATAATAATTTATAGTGTACAGGATGATAATGATCAAAGATTTTTACGCACTAACGAATACTTGTGGTCGTTGGTATAAATCATGTGAATCGCTAGATTTCTAGCAAACAAATGAAACGGAGTTTATCGTCCTACTGTTCATCTCCGAACTGGGCTAATGAAGACGGGCATACGCCATACAGTTTGCTATGAAGGAAATTTTGTCCTTACAGTGGCACTACGGTCTACTCTTATATCGAATTCCAAATGTCAAGGGATCTTTTACGTGCACGCCAATGTGTACACAGGACCTCGGTTTTTCGTCTCATCCGAACGACTAGACAGCTATCCTTGTCAGGCCCTCCGTCCTGCATCACTGACAACGGGGAATCACGCATGAACTTTCTCGGCCAATGCAGGGATCGAACACCCGACCTCGAGGCTAGCGAGCCAGCATCATACCAACTTAGCCACCGTGGTGATCCCCTCTAGCAAACAAGATGAACAATGTATGTATAAAGAACATTTAGGAACATAATTCAGATTTGTTTGTAGTTCTGATTAAATTATCTGTAACTCGGGTTAATCAATATATGAATAGAATAGAGCTGTCTATATCTAACAAACTATTCATTAAGCTATTCTTCACCTCGCCAGTTTTGTCGATATTCAGCGAGGGGAGGAGCTTACATGCTTCGCGTCGACCAATCAACGCACTCTAAGCACGCTGGTGCAAATTATTGACTGACGTGTTTATCACACAGGAGGATTGCTAGATTTGCTTCAGTGTTTCTTAGACCGTATGTCATATTTCCGTGAATCATTACCGACGAAATAATAACTTTTTATTCTTGATAAAGGATTATATAAAAACAAAAAAAATCACAAAATACTTGGAAGACTCAATTTTAAAACTTTTATTGGAGACTGAGTAACTTATAAACTTTTGTCAATTCGATATTTAGGCATGTGACAAGACAACGTCGTAAAAAGCAACCCCCACAGAGGAGTTGGGAATAGTTTATAAGTTATGTGCTGAGGTAGTTACATTCTAATCATCGTATAAGTTGTTCCGGTGGGTCGATAAACCAGGATGCGAACAGTGGCTTGATTCAGTCTAAACGTTAACTGTTGTCGCTGGAGTAATCTTCATTTGGTGTCGTTGCGCATATCAAATACTGTTATAAACCACGAACAGGCATAACAGCATTCTTTTCCGATGCATATCATTTTTCAATATGGCTTCTAGATCTACTTAAAATTTGACTAAAACGATTTTAATTCAAGTAGCTGTTGATTCGTGTAACTGCCATGGAGAATTCCACATTGAATACCTCGAAAGCCAACGTGAATTACTCGTGTTGGAATCTCCCACCCGAATACTGCGGCACCAGAGATGGTTTCATTGAAAAGATCCGAGAGTTTATGTTCCCGTCCCCGGAAGAATGGATCGTGATTATTCTTCACGTTGTGGTCTTCTTTATTGGAACAATTGGAAACTTTTTGGTGTGTTTTGTCGTGTGGAGAAGCAAGCACATGCAGACGGTGACCAACTTGTTCATAGTTAATTTAGCCGTAGCTGATTTTTTGGTTGTTATGTTCTGTCAACCGCCGACCGTTCTACAGGAAATTACCGAAAACTGGTTCTTTGGTGAAATGATGTGTAAAGTAGCCATATTTTTTCAGGTAAGAATTTTTTTAACATAAGAGGGGGTTGGATGATCGGAGGGCTTTAGATCAATTTCTGGAAAAGAGATTTTGGGCTCTTTTATTTTGAGAGAGAGAGAGATGGGTTTAACGTCAACTAGACACAAGCTAGGTCATTTCGGGACTAACATATGGTTCAGTCTTTTTATTTCAATAATTCGAGACTAACACATGCTTCAATTTTATTTCAATAATTCGCTTGTGCGTCGGAGTCGTCAGCAGTGGAAGGAAGCCGGGGGACCCGGAGAAAACCCAGGAGGTTAGACAGGCCACCTTACTCATTGTCACGTACAACCGGGGAATCGAAACAACGTCAGTTGACTCAATGACAGATCTTACGATACAACGCGTACTCGTTAACCATTCGGCCACCCAACACCCCCTCTTTCGGGTGTGGAACTAGGCTAGGGGGTTGACTGGTCACCGATCAGTTCTATTTGGAGTTAAATTTTCTGCAATCAATCATACATTTCTGAAATTACAATGGCGACAACATTAATTAACTGATGATAGACTTAGATTTCGGGATGTCCTAGTGGTCAAGAGTGTCGCGCCTCGAGCTAGGCGGGGTGGCGGGGAGGGTGAATGGCTGAATGGTTAGCGCGTGTGCGTTGTATCATAAGGTCTGTCATTGAGTCAACTGGCGTGGTTTCGATTCATTGGTTGTACGTGACAAGGAGTAGGATCGCCTGACCAAAATCGTGGGTTTTCTCCGGGTCCTCTGGTTTCTTCCAACTGCTCGCAATCGTATTATTAAAATAAAAATTGAACCATATGTTAGTCCCGAAATGACCTAGTTTGTGTCTAGCTAGGCGGTCACCCCTAGTTTGCGATCGTGATACGTGGGTAGCTATATCACGTTGGCTCACACCAGTATTGCATCTAAACCTGACGATCCAGCAAATTTAACTTTTGTTTTATAACTATCTATCGATGCCCATGACAGAAACATATTTTCATGATTGATTTAAGCATTATTATCACTCCGATCAAATGAAAAAAAAAAGATGAATAATATATCAAAATTAACGCAACGACTCGCCCACTCCGATCAAGAAATGAAAAAAAAGATGAATAATATATCAAAATTAACGCAACGACTCGCCCACTTTTAGAAAATGGAGGTAATGACTTACTTAGGGTTATGTTCAGGAAAGTTCGGTAACTCCCCTGAAACCGCTACGAATCATGAAATGAAAGTAAGCAAGTTCGACTACATCCAGAACAAACTCGTGTTTTCTAGAGAGCTTCGTCATGTTACGGCCATGAACGGTAGATTGCGCTGACAACTGAGCTGCCCATAAGAAGAAGAAAAAAAAAGCTCGAATTGGACAAAAATTGGATGACGTAGCATATTATCATTGTAACGGGTGATATATGAATCTGTTTAACAGATGTAAGGTATTTTCTTCATGGAACAGGAACTGTCGTGTACGTATAATCAGGGCAAAACCAAATTTATTCTGGTAACCCACAGAAATAGGGTTTAACGTCCACTCGACAAAAACTAGGCCATTTCGCGACTAACACATGGTTCAATATTTTTATTTCAATAATTCGCTTGCGCGTAGGGGTCTTTAGCAGTGTGGGGGAGGGGGACTGGAGGACCAGGAGAAAACCCACGAGGTTGGACAGGCGACCTTACTCTTTGACACATACAACCAGGGAATCGATGCTCGGGCTAACCTTTTTGCAAGAGGAGGTTTGCCTGGTTGAGGACATTTGATAGTTGACAATACATGATGCCATCATCGTCTCCAAATTGCGTAGGCATACATACACAATTAGGTTTGTAAAGAGAGATATCCAACACCCCGTGTGATGTCAATTTTTATTATGAATTAATAGGATCATATTGTAATTCAATTTCATTGATGCAAAGCATTAATTGTGATATCACACACACCTATATCATTATTTTGCGCTTTGAATGCCCATCCCATCTCACCATCTGATGATAAAGAATAAAGCACACGTCCGTGACATGTTTCTCATAAAAAAAAGAGTTGTTAGTTTCTTATGTCGCTGAGCTGAGGAGTGCTTCCGCCACCGTATACATCGACAGTAGTATGTCCCGTACAGTCCAAATGGTCTCCACGCTAGAGGAGGAGACGTCACCCCGAGTCGCCAGCCGATCCCCATTATAAAGACCGAGGGTTAGTGCTCCAAGACCAAGGGTTAGTGCTCCCATGGGATCTTGTTCATTTTGCGTAATCAGCGATCGCTCCGCCCATGTATAAATGAAATTAAATATACGTTGCTGACGTCTAACAAATTGTCCGTTTGAGACGTATAATCACCCGACCAAGCAGGACCTGTAATTCTTACTTTGGCCAATTTTCGATTTTCCAATTACGTATCCATTACAACCCATAATTATCCGTGAGAAAATTGGTTATGCGAGATCTAGTCGCGAGATAATGAGGATATAATCTTGATCAATCAGAGACGATGTAAATTATGAAACTATAGGATCACATTTAGATTTATTATATAATACAAGATTATACCTCATCCATTTCGATTAGGTATAGAATATAATGGCCCATTCTGTTTCATAGAGGTATTGCGAAAAGTCATTCTGATTAAAGAGAGAGAGAAATGGGGTTTAACGTCCACTCGACACAAACTAGGTCATTTCGGGACTAACATATGATTTAATTTTTTTCCATAATTTGCTTGCGCATAGGGGTCTTTAGGAGTGGGAGGAAACCGGAGGACCCGGAGAAAACCCACGAGGTTGGACAGGCGACCCTACTCCTTGTCACGTACAACCGGGGATTCGAAACCACGCCAGTTGGCTCAATGACAGACTTTATGATATAGCGCGCACGTGCTACCATTCAGCCATCCAACCCCCCATCTGATTAAAGGACAATACTGGTGTCAGTCATTATCACAGAACTGGTTAAACACATTCCAAATATAATTTTAATATATCCTCCCACAGTCTCATATAACAACTTTTGGTCTTCGAAGGAATTATAAGTGATCAGAAATTTGCCCGTGTATCTCTTATCACTTGTCACTTCAGTCAGTTATATAGAGGGATAGCTCGTGTTTTCCTTTTGTGTTCGTCACTTCCCCTTCTTGAACGCTTCATTGCGCATCTATCGTAGCAATGATCTCGGTGTTAAAATTATATTTGGAATGTGTTTAACCAGTTCTATCACGTATAATAGTTAAAAACTAGATAATGTAAAGGAAATTTGCTGAAAATTTTAGTCAAATTGATCCACTCTGAACCGAGATTTAAGCGATTGAATTTTCAGCCTAACCTCGATCATCATTACTAGAGTCGGTACGATAAAATACACTGTCTCGATTATCCATTTCATGAATAGAAGTGGAGAAGTGGAGGAGCAAATGATGTCCTAATCCAGTAAACATCGCAGACTAGAGTTGATATCGAGAGTTGATTATGGTCTGGATAAGTTAATTAATGTCTAATTAATAATTTAGATAACATTTCAGGCCTAACAAAAAAGCTGAAATAGGCAGATTTAGCCCTTGCATAATGTATGTTTAAATAACCGCTTGATAAATTATGATATGCACCCTAGAGTGACTAACATATTATAATATAAAGAATGGTTATTGTACAAATAAAAATAATCATTTCTAGAGCACTGAACATTCAGTCAGTCTGACTGCTCTGTGGTGCTTTACAATGTATATATGATTATACATGTATGTATATACAAATAAACAAAAGAATACAACAGAGAGAGAGAGAGAGAGAGAGAGAGAGAGAGAGAGAGAGAGAGATGGGGTTTAACGTCTACTCGACACAAACTAGGTCATTGCGGGACTAACATATGGTTTAATTTTATTTACATAATTCGCTTGTGCGTAGGGGTCTTTAGCAGTGCGGGGGGAAAACGGAAGACCCGGAGAAAACCCACGAGGTTGGACAGGCGACCCTAATCCTTGTCACCTACGACCGGGGAATCGCAACCACGCCCGTTGACTCAATGACAGACGTTATCATACCGCGCACACGCTAACCATTCGCCCCCCCCACACTCTTACAAAGACGAATGTTTGTGAAAATACACATTTAAACAACATTTAAATATGGTCTACCACTTGTAGCACTTTCCCCTCAAACTAAAAATAAATTGTTTATTGGAATTTTTGACTAAACATAAACTTTTTTGTAGCTGTAAAATATTCGACCAGTATATCAGTTGTTAATTTATATGATAATTTAAAGTCTACCTTAACACGTTTTAACACCATATCTTTCTGCACAAACTAACAATAAATTATTCACTGGATAAAACGGAAACATATTTTTATAACTGTAAAATAATATACGAATTTTATATGGCGTATTTTTACTGATTATTAAAGTAATCAAGTAATATGGAAATTTGCAACAGTGCTTGGATGGCCGAATGGTTAGCGCGTGCGAGCTGTATCATAAGGTCTGTTATTGAGTCAACTGGAGTGGTTTCGATTCCCCGGTTGTACGTGACAAGCAGTACGGTCGTCTGTCCAATCTCGTGGGTTTACTCTCACTGCTAAAGCGAATTATTGAAATAAAATTGAACCGTGTGTTAGTCCCGAAATGACCTAGTTCGTGTCGAGTAGACGTTACTCCCCCCCCCCCTCTCTCTCTCTCGCTTTTCAGGGATGGACTGAAAACGAGCAAGGTAGTTTTATTTTTCGTTGATGAGTTTGGCAGCTAACCAAGTGTAATTGAAGAATCGTTAATTGATTATATGTAATTAGTTATTTAATATGTTTTTATCGGGTAACATTCCAGCAAATTACCTATAATTATAAAATTATGAACGATAGGGACTCTCAGGTATCATTTAGAAACAATTTCTTAATTTGGCAACCTTAGCCTGGTTTGGTGTTTCCTCATGTTGTGATATGATTACCCATTCTTTGTTTGCCTTTTAAAGCCGGTCATAAATAAACCAAAAAGGTTTGTATGTTTCGCGTCCCACTCGAACGATTAGCCAATA